TCATAGTGAAGTTGGAAAACAGATATAACTTTTTTAACCACATGCTCAAAGTCAGTTTGATCATGAGAATCTGACTAGAAACAGATACTTCTCACAAACAGTGGACAACCTCAAAAATACATGGAGCCACAGATCCACCATATGGAACATCATTTCAAAGTATGGCACACCATGTAGCACTTTGGTGGAACACTGTTTGAAATGAAGAGAAACCTCAAAATTAACTAACTCCTTCTATTCTTCTTGTTACAAGTTAAGAGGCAAGCTTGTTACCAGATTCTGAAATAATCACAGCAGATTTTTAAGTTACTTCCTAACTTAAAAAAGTAAAGCAACAAACACTGTATTGCACACTTTCCCACTTGAAGTTGGTCAGACACATTTACCATGCTACAAATGGTTCTTATTAAAGAGGCTGGCATTTGGAAGAAAACTCATCTGATGCCAGTAAGAGCTTCTACGTAAGCTTCAACAAGACAGAGAGTAAAAGGTCTGAACCATGACCTCTGAAATGCTAGCTAGTGATTCCATGTTTGACACCCACATTGATCCACGTCTGTTGTTCTTTTGTGTCATTGGAAATGTTCCACCTGCAATGCCAAAACATAAGCGACATCTATAGCAAGAATAGTCCCCATGAGCTGACAGTTTGAAATGAAGGTCAGACAATGTCAGCTCTCTCTGATAATGAGAAACTGAATAGGTTCTTCTGCAGCATGTTTGGAAAAGGTTAACCTGTTTTGTAACGCCAGGTATACTCAGACATCAGGGCAAATTTTCCGCTCTGTTATCTTCTAATGAATTCTGCTTTCTGACACGAATAGTTCTAAACTGTACTATAAGCAGGTAATATATGGTGATGGTGTTTTGTATTCTGAAAAGCTTTGTAATATTAAATTAGCATGGAGAATTCATTGCAGGGGGCAGGGGTTATTATTTTATTTTTTTATTGGACTCTGTGCATACAGATGTTAAATCTATAGTTAAATCTATCCTCTCAAAATACTGAATAGAGAGGCAACCTTCAGAATTTGATGCACAATGTCATGGTAATCGTTTCTTGTTTTGACTACAAAGCATGTGTATCACACTCTGACAAACTGACTTCTACCTTCTTGTCCATTCTATTGCCTACCTAGTACTTCTTCACTCTGTCTTCTTTGCTACCTCACTTTCCCTGCTTAAATGAATAGATATCACAGAGCCAGATGCCAAACATACAAGTTACCAGCCCCAGTTCCTTTTTAAATTTCTTCACCATAAACCTGGTTCTCAGCCTTCCCATTCCAATTTACCTTCTTTCCTTCCTTTCTGCTCCTGCCATGGGTATATGCCAGCCTCTGGCTTAATGACCCTCTCCACTATAGAGCCCAGAGTAGACTTCGGTCTAGATGGGTGGGGTATAAATTGAATGAATGAATGAATGAATAATCTCATGATTCCATGCTCTCCATCAGTCAAATACAGCTGCCACTATGGCACATACTTGTGTTTGGGCCTTCTTTTAGAACACCTGGATGCTGTCACTACTACCTTCTTCTCTTGGATGGCAGTGGTGTGGAATATCCAGAGATTAGGCTGTATTTCAGGGGTTGCTCCCAGGCTGTGGAGTTAGAAAAGGCTAGGTTGATCATCTCCCCATCATCTGCCTGTCAGCGGGCATAGAGTTTTTAATGCAGGAGGGTTGCTGGAATTTTTTTTGCAACTGACTAGCTGTCTGTGAAGGGTGGGTGATGCCTTCTTTTCTTTATAGATATGCTTTTAAATTGCCTGTACTTCATTAGCACTGTAATATTATAATTTGATTAATTCTGTTTTAATATAATTACTTTTTATGTTTTCCTTTGCACCTTTTAATCTTTTTATGAGTTATAATTTGTGTCAATTGGGGTGAAATGTGTTTGGGGATATATATAAAAATGAAATTGACAAAGGATAAATGCATAGATGGAGAGACAGAAAGATAAAGCTTTTCCATTTACTGCCACAGGGCATGGAAATTAGCAGGTTAGCTCTTGGATATTTGCACATATTATCTAAGAAAGAGACATTGTTCTCTTACAATTTTTTTTTAAAAAAGGAATGATTTGTTACATGCCCTCATTCTGCCAAGAAGCACTAATTATCGTAGTTAACATTGCCATGCTGACGGTTGGCACGCTGCATAAAGCTATAGAAGAATCAAATACAGAAAATGCCACACTGGATAATGATCAGAGAAAAAAATACTACTTTTTCAAATCAGGTTCAGAAGAAAACAACAATAACAATGATGGAGCCCACTTATTTTCAGTCTTTATTCCTCCATCTTTCTTGATCGCTTCTTAGAACAACTGCCGCAGAAGGCAATTTTTAGGAAACGAGAAGAAAAAAGTCAATCCACAGCATTAGAAAGATGTACACTAACTGAGTAATCTGAAAAGCCTTGAGCTCAAATTATTAGGTCAAAGCCAGTATATTACTTTCCTGGGCTGCATTGCAACCTTTGTTCCTAGCCATATAAAGTGCTTCTACTGTGAGGAATGAAACAAGATTTCATTTGTCTGAACAACCAAATGCCTGCCAGGGCTTTGCTACACGGAATATATTGTGTATGGAGTGTGCGGCTGAACCTCACTTAGAAGTAAGTATTTGGAGGCTCAATCAGATCAGGAAGCTTGTGCACTGGCAGAGGAGATTTAAACCTCCACCCACTGCACAGTCACTTCCTCCCTACCCAACAACAACAACACCCCGTTGTCACCACCAGATACTTTCCCTTTTTTTAAAAAAAAAGCTTCTGTGTCACTGTGCACAAGTGCAAGGATTATAGTGATTGTAGGAAGAACCTCACTCATCAGCACATCAGTCCAAGTTGGGGATCCATGTGCTTCCTTCAGACTTTTTTAAAAAAGGGAAGTCTCAGCTACATTCTGTGGCTTGTATCCTGCTCAATATTTGCGTGTGTAGAGCTCAAGGTGTGGAAGCTGCTAAAGCCATCCGATGTGGTGCCAACCATGAGTCTGTTCACATGACCCAGAAGTGCTACTGGCACCTCCTCAGAACACCAGAGCAGATTTGATAATCAAAACTCCACACATGCAGGTACTAAACAGAATACTGGACTATTTATTTTATGTAGTTTGTACTTTAGCTCTTGGGTAAGTTTTTTATACAAAGCCTGCCCCAAAACAGCAATTCTAGACTGAGCACCAGTTTAAACGAGATGCTTAAACATAACTTGGAAATGAGACCTCTTTGGACCACAATTTGTCAGTCAACATGGCTGCTGACTATGTTCAGAAAAGCATTGTTTCCAAGTGCTGTCTAGGGCTCCCATAAATCCCTTCACTCTGCTGGTCCAGTTTGCTATTAAAGGACTGTATACCCATTCGTTGGTTGCAACAGACACAATACTTAGTAGTAGTCTAGTGCAACCTGGACAAGAATCACAATGACATGTCAAAGTTCCTTGCTTAAGGGTTGGCCTGTGTATTTAACACCTCCTTAATATATGGCTATTGGTCACATGGAATCCTGCATGAGTAATTTTGCAGAACATCTAACTTAAATCAAGGTTCAGTCACCAAATGATGATACTTAGTAGTGTGTATCACATTGGCCTGGCACTTATCCACAGAAACAAATTCTTAAAACTACTGATTTTCACAGCAAAGAAAGTCATTCTGTCACTTTTTTTCGAACCTGCTCCCACCAAAGAGAGACTACGTTAAAATTATCAGTGTGACATAAAGGAAGGAAAGCAGGTTCAAATACAGTAGTGCCCTGCACCATGACGATAATCCATTCCCCTGAAATCGCTGTTAAGCGAAAACATTGTCCAGTGAAAACAGTTTCCCCATTGGAATGCATTGAAACCCATTTAATGCATTCCAATTGGGAAATTACCTCATCGTCCAGCGAATATTGCCCATAGGGGAAGCCATTTTCCGAGCGCCGATCAGCTGCTAAACATGTGTCTGGAAAACACAAGGCAGCCATTTTGCGGAGCCAGAAAAATTGTCGTTTTGAGAACAAATGGTTCACGAAGCATGGACCTAATCATCGTCAAACGAAAATCCCCCATAGGAAATATCATTTTGCGATCGCTATAGGGGTTTCAGATAATGTGTCACTGAATAAACCCTTCGCGTCCACTTAAGATTCATGTGGCTCTCCTGCTCTTTTACCCACTGTTTACCAGGTCAGAGGACAGGTTATCACTTATTTCACAGTTCTTTTATCATATTCCATTTGGGAACACAATTGTATTTCATGATTGGAGGCTCAGGGTCAAAATAAACAGTACTTTGAAGATATAGTGAGCCATTAAAAATCTAGTAAGCATTCATTCCCCTAGCCGGGATATGAGGACTTGACAGGGGAGGTTTAGACTCTCCCCTATTTATTTCTTGCCCCCTCAAAATCCACACATGGACACTTTTTTTTTCTTTTCAGTACAGGCAGCTGAAAAAAAAAGGAGAGGAGTGTTGAGAGTTCTGGGAACCTGTGTAAGTTCCAGTAACATGCATAGTGGAAGGCCAGCTACTTCTGGTTAGAAGTAGGTAAGGAAGTTCCCTTTGTTTATCCATCCTCACCAAAGCCTAGCACTTTTGAAAAACAACACTCAGGATCTTTACATGTAAAAGGTTTTGTATATTTAACTCAGATGAATAGGCACTTAGTAGAATTTCAGGTTGATACAAAAGGAAAAATAGTGAAAGCAAAGGTTTCTTTCCTCAGCCCATGCGGCTGGGAGGATCTCTGGAGTTCAGAGATCCTGCCTGGAGGTCTAGCATCTTGCAAGGTGAAAAAGGATCTGTGTTACAAAATGGAGTTTCTCAAACCACATGGTGAGAAGGGGAATGACAAGGGGCGGAGCTTATCTAGCCCGGGAAGCAACAAATCCCTCTGATTGGTTAGCATGTAAATAAACAGGCATAACAAGTTAGTCTGTGATGCAGAGTATATATTTAATATATCACACTGTTTCACTTTCAGTCTGCCAAAGAGAAGAAAAAGAAAGGTACAGCTTTCAGATACTTCTGAAGGCAGACAGAACTAATCTTGTACTTTTTGCAGTCTTTTTTTTAAAGTGACTTGGAGTGTATCACTGGTAAGTAGAACAGAAATCTAACATTTTCCAGATGCAAGCTGAGTAAATCAGTTGCTTTCACAATAATTTAATATGTTCCAGATTAAACACAATGATCTAAACCAAATTGTTATTGGTTGTTGTGGATTTTCCAGGTTGTTTGGCCATGTTCTTAAGGTTTTTCTTCCTAACATTTCGCCAGTCTCTGTGGCCGGCATCTTCAGACGACAGGAGTCAGAACTCTGTCTGTGCTCTGTTGCAGTTTGTTGGATATGTAGTTGAGTATTTATAACTGTGGGATTGACTTTTGTCCATTTCGGGAGATTGGGTGATTATGATGATCAGTGTGTTTTTGTTGTGGGTGTACTGTTGTGATAAGGGGGAGAGATGATCTGTAACTGTGATTGATGGGTGTCGTTAGATGGTCTTTTGTGTGCAGTGATCCCTGGTCCTTGTGGCTGGGTAGAGTTCGTTGACCCTTTGCAGGCTGTATTTTTCAGTGCTGCAAGCTAGGCTTTGTCGAGTTTTAGACTTTCTTCTTTTTTGTTCAAGCTCGACTGGTGTTTGTGGATCTCAATGGCTTCCCTGTGCAGTCTAACATAATGATTGCTGGAGTTGTCCAGTATTTCAGTATTTTGAAATAGAATTTCATGTCCAGCTTGTTTTAGGGCATGTTCAGCTACTGCTGATTTTTTAGGTTGTTTTATTCTGCTGTGTCTCTCATATTCTTTGATTCTGGTGTGGATGCTGTGTTTTGTGGTTCCAATATATACCTGGCCACAACTGCAATGCATCTGGTATACTCCTGCAGTGGTGAGGGGGTCCCTTTTGTCCTTTTGCTGATCGTAACATTTGTTGTATTTTTGTGGTGGGCCTGAAAACTGTTTGTAGGTTGTGTTTTTTCAAAAGTTTCTCCATGCAGTCTATGACCTCTTTGATGTATGGCAGAAATACTTTATTTGTGGGTGGCTGTTTTTCCTCTTCAGTTTGGTGTTGTTGTTTTTTTTGTTTGATGGCTCTTGTGATTTCTTTCTTGGAATAGCCATTTGCCTGTAGGGTCCAATTCAGATGGTTGAGTTCGATGCTGAGAAATTGAGCTTCTCAGTTTCCATTTGCATGGTCTACCAAATTGTAGACTCATTGGCTAAAACCCTGCTGCTTAGTGTAGCATGTTGCACTAGAGTAGGTCCATTGAATCAGTAGGGGTTTGTTGTGTCAATCCATTGATTCAAATACACCTACTATGGCTGTTATTTACTTTAGTAAAGTAAGCTGCAACTAGAATAGGCCCATTCAAATCAATGGTATTTACACAGTTGACTCACCAAATCCCCAATGATTCAGTGGGCCTACTGAAGTACTACTTACTATGATAACCAGCAGGATTTCAGCCATCAAATCAATGAGAAGTCAATTAGCCAATACTTACTTAAATTCCACTAATTCAATGAGTCTGCTTCTCATGGGACTAACAATTCGATTTAGGCCAAATTTTAAAAGTATCACATCACCAGAAAAGGAAGCAACAGATATGAGAGACTCCCACACAGAATAAGCATGTTTAAACATTGCAATCTTTGCTCTTATTTGTGTTTGATTAACTGTGGAGACTATCCTTCTACCACCTATCTTCCAAGCTGAGACCCTCTTACATTTATAGTGGTGCTGTAGCAAATCATCAACACATAATTAAAGATATGAAACTTGGGTTTTATTTGAATGACACTAACTGGCATTGGCTTATGAGTGGCTTTAAACCAGACTCATCCTGAGAATTATTACTATAAGCAAGTATATACAATTATTGGACAAGAAACGTCAGTATAGACTCTGCCTATGTAACTTCCAGAAAATGGGAATGTGCCAATGGGAGATGGCAATGCCTCATTTCAGTGTCAGTTTAAAAAAATGGTTGCTTATCCAGACCTTGGGGGTCCAGTATTTGTGGACCGATTTCAGCCTGTTTAGGACTGTCTTGTTTGTTCCTTTTTAAAATTATTATTTAATTGTAATTATGAATTGTTTTAACTTGCTTAAACAAGTTTAGAGTTGGTTAATCCCCACCCTGAGATCTTCAGAATATAGCACACAACAGAAATATTGTAACCAATATATAATAAACAAAATAGTACCAATTTCCTAAGCTTGTGGAATTTAATGCACTAACGATCCTAGCAACAGGCTGGCAGTACTAGGGAAGAGCATTCACTGACCAGCAAAAATATGGATATGTGAATCCCTATTCCCAAGCTGTATCTTAAATACATTTATAGCACAACTGCATATTAAGTGAGTTCAAAATAGTTCAGGGTTTTATTTCTGCAAACTTTCCATACTGTATGTCGTGGAGACAGTCAACTATTATATGGGGGAGGGATGGGCATAGGCTTGCAAATTCAGAGCTGTGTTTATAATCTGTTCAAAAGTTTGTTTTGAAAGAAGATCAAGAAGAAGAAGAACCTATGATGGAGACAGGAGTTTAGTTTTAGTCTAGCAAGAGATCCCTCATACAAAAGAGATGGCTCATATTTCTGACTGAATTCTGAGACAGAAGAAAAAAAGAGGAAAGGAATCTTTATGAAGCAAATCATTTCATCATTCCAGACTACCAACTGCATCATACATACTGCAATCAGAATCACATGTCTGAAACCACTTCAAAGTTATTTATTCACAACTGGAACAGGACAGTACTTGTTTACTGTCTATTTATAAGGCAATACAAAGAAGCTTCTTGAGTTATTAAGAGTGCATAACCATCTCTTTTGACATCTCTTTGGCCTATCTGCAGACATATTCTATGAAGGATGGCTTCCATACAACCCACAGCTGAAACATCTGCACTTTTGGTCAATATTTCATTGTTGTTCTGTGTCATTAAGTTGGAAATGAATTATAGTGTCCCTAGTAGGGTTTTCAAGGTAAGTGAGATGTTTAAGGAGTGTTTTTACCAGATCCACTCTCCCAGTTAGTTCTATGGCTGAGCAAATATTCAAACCCAGGCTTCCCATGTCCTAATCCACCATTCTATCCACTACACCACACTGGGTATCAGTCAATAGTATACCTCATGAATAATCCACCTGTAGATTTTTGACCCTATAGTTCCTGTAAGTTCCTAACACTGTAGCCAGTGATCAAGGACTAAGGGAGCTGTATAGATCAAATCCTCTGAAGGAAATTAGACTGGCTACCCTTCATTTTGTTTCTGATCATGGGGCATTCTTGGCAAAGATACTGGAGTGGAATCGCCGGTTCCTGCCCCAGGTTCCTATCCCATCACCTCCTGGGAAATAGAAGCGGAAGATATGGAGGCAGTGACAGATTTTACTTTCTTGGGCTCCATGATCACTGCAGATGGAGACAGCAGCCCCGAAATTAAAAGACGCCTGCTTCTTGGGAGGAAAGCAATGACAAACCTTGACAGCATCTTAAAAAGCAGAGACATCACCTTGCCAACAAAAGTCCCAATAGTCAAAGCTATGGTTTTTCCTGTAGTGTTGTATGGAAGTGAGAGCTGGACCATAAAGAAAGCTGACCGCCAAAGAATTGATGCCTTTGAATTGTGGTGCTGGAGGAGACTCTTGAGAGTTCCCTGGACTGCAAAGAGAACAAACCTATCAATTCTAAAGGAAATCAACCCCGAGTGCTCATTGGAAGGACAGATCCTGAAGCTGAGGCTCCAGTATTTTGGCCATCTCATGAGAAGAGAAGACTCCTTGGAAAAGACTTTGATGTTGGGAAAGTGTGAAGGCAAGAGGAGAAGGGGACGACCGAGGATGAGATGGTTGGACAGTGTCATCGAAGCAACCAACATGAATTTGACACAACTCCGGGAGGCGGTGGAAGATAGGAGGGCCTGGCGTGCTCTGGTCCATGGGGTCACGAAGAGTCGGACATGACTAAACGACTGAACAAACAAACAAACACCCTTCATTTTTCTTTCTCACTTAACCTGGTTTAAAGAAAAGTGGAGAGAATCAGAATAGTACTTCTATTCCAACTTTATGGCGCAGGGAGAAAAAAGGCAGAAGTCCCAAATGCTTGTGGAGCTTTTCCCACCTAGAAAACAGATCATTGTCCACCAGAAAAGGGGAGAGGATAAGAAAAAGGAGATCAGTGATAGATCAGTAATATCTATGATTTCTAACATAGGAAGATTTGCCAGATGAGCAAACAAGAGCAGACTTTCAGAGTTAAGTGTCTGCCATTCCTCATGCAGAAATAGCCCCTTTCCTGACCCACTCCATAAGGCCATGACCCAACAGGCATTTCAGCCTCGTACCCAACTTAGCCTCTGTTTGGTCTTCTTCTCCCTTGAAGTGACCTTTGCCATCTGATACAAGAAATGGCTACCTAGGCTACAGAAACACTAGCCAAACTGGCCCAATTTGAAGTAGTGACCTGACATACACTGAAAATTGATACACCATTAACCAAAACAAGACAAAGCACCTAACAGCTCTAGGTTTCAAACACCTAGACCAGTGGTTCCCAATGTTGGGTCCTCAAATGTTCTTAGACTAGAATTCCAAGAAACCCTGGCCAGCACAGCTTGTGATAAAGGCTTCTGAGAGAAACCCTGGCCAGCACAGCTTGTGATAAAGACTTCTGGGAGTGGTTGTTGTAGGTTTTTCAGGCTCTTTGGCTATGTTCTGAAGGTGGTTGTTCTTCAAAGAGCCCAAAAAACCCACAACAACCATTAGATCCCAGCCATGAAAGCCTTCGTGAATACTTCTGGGATTTTAGTCCAAAAACATCTGGGGACCCAACACTGGATTTTATGCATGAAGAAAGGGCTACCGGTACACAGCCTTGCTTTGTTTTTATTGTATCAAATTTCTCGTATCGGAATTTAAAGTACCTATGGAAGTACACATAAAGTTACCCAAGAGGCTCTTAGATATTTTAACTTGTTCAGGAAACAGAAGAATTATCACACAAAAAAACTTCATTAGAAGACCCTTGATACTTGATTTCCTTCATTTTATTGTCTTGTATTATTTCAGATCAAATTGTTTAGAAGTTGTTCTTGTTATCCACTACAATATTTCTACTCTTTAAACAAAGACACTTCTCAACATCAACCAATGCTAAGGCATATATTTCACTCTATAAGGAAGGGTATTGTAAAAATTATCACCATAGCAACTAAGAGATGGATGGTACCTACAAAGGTACTAGTGAAAGCTTGCATTCTGACCTTTAGCTCCAGTTGCTGACTATGGATTTTGAAAGAATTTGATAACAAGATTGTGAGCTCCAATTATGACAGAGGCCAGGGTGCAAATTAAAGATGGAGTACATTCACTTTTAGCAAAGAGAAGGACTAAATTACTCTCATTAGATTCATTTAGAACCAGTGGAACCAAGTTGAAAGCACCCAATTCAAAGAAGCAGACCAGAATGAAAGTCCAAAGAAGGATATATTTTTTCATTATAAGCTACCCAAAGCTACAAGAAATGAAATGCAAACAGTACCTGCAAGGTTGGGGTTGTCTTGCATAATGGCAATTTTAAATATTATTCTGGACATAACAGGTGCATTATTATGCAAATAACAGAAAGAAATATTATACTAAATAATAGTTCTGTTTAAATGCCTTGGAACTTGATTATTAAAAAACCTTGACATCTGAGAGTCAATCAGTCTCTAAAAACAGGGATTAAGAATGTATGGCACTCCAAATATTGTTGGACAGCAACTCCCATCATCCGAGCCAGCAAAGCCAATGGTGAGTTATAACCAATAACATCTAGAGTTTTCTACTTTGTCTACCTCTGCCTTAAAATATCTAAAAGACACATTAATAAATACTTCAGCAACATATTGCTCCACCTACTTAAATGATGATTACAGTGCTATAATAGGAAAAACCATTCCCTTTAGAGATCAGACCCCAGCCTTTTATTTACCTTGAATCCCCAAAGGACTAACATTGCCTCTCAATGCTGGCACATGATGGTACTGGTGTAGCCTTGAACTCCTGTACATCCATTGGTACCTGCCAATTTCCATTTCTGGTCTGGTGATCACTGCCAATTTTAGGTGGTAAAAAGTCAGTGTCTCCAGCAAAAGTTCAATTTTATTTTATTACTTTCATTCAATTCAGTTTTAATATTTAAAAAAGCAGGGAAGAGAAGTGGAAAAAGGAGTGGGGATAGAGCAATCTAGGAACAGATTGAACAGCAGAAATAGTCATATCTACGTGCCAATTAAAAGACAAAAAATAGCTTGGGTTATATTTTAGGGTCTATATAGATACTAAAAATAGAAAAGGAAGAGAAAAGGAAGAGAAAGCCTGTTAAGACTTTTCAAAACACATATAATCTATTTTAAAAAACATTTCCATTTAGAGGAGACATCAGTACTCTAGAGCAGTGGTTTTCAACTTCTGGTCCTTCAGATGGACAGAATTTTAACTTAAGGAATCCCTACCCCATGTTGGGTAGGGCTTCTGGGAGTAGAAATCCACAAAATCTTTACTGCTGAAGGTCGAGAAGCACTGCTTTAGAGCAGCCTTCTCCAACCTGGTGCCCTCCAGATATGTTGGCCGATGTAATATAATCATCAATGGCCATTTCCTGGGGATGAGAAAGAGAGTTCTAGTACAACCCATTTGGAGGGTGTAAGGTTACCAAGAGGCTGTTCTAAAATAGCCTATAATTATTATTTACTGCACTTCCACCCTACATCATATGCCTTTCTTTTGCTAGCAGTAAGTCTTCTACATCAGATACGATAGGAAGGGCAACATAATCTAATTATGGGAAACCACATTTACTATTTTTAACTCCTCAGGAAAACCAACTCAGCAAGATTATCCTTCCCAGATGTGGGAGGTAAAATCAAAGAACAGTTTCAGCTACTGCAGTATCACATAGTTAATACTTTTACAAAATAAGTACATTAAAAAGTTGCAATGCATTGTGCAAAATTATTCCAAGTTATACTGGTCTACATTCTGAGAATGTTTTGTCCATAATTTGGGCACAATTATAATTTTTGTGATAATTTAACTCATTATCTTTAGCAAATCTTCTTCTTCTTTGTAGTTTGTAAAGGGTAAGCAAGATTACACAGTCGCCAATCGCATTAAGAGTCTGATATTCTTTGGGAAGCAACATACAAGTCTAATGGGCCCTGAATGCTGTAACTGGTAAGTAACAGTATTATTGCTCAAGACATCACTGCAAGATGCAGTGAAAATGTGTTCCTTTTATTATTTCTTTCCATACCTCTGGACAGTAAATTACAGGAGGAGCATATTATACTCTATATAGGGAAAATGGAACCAAACTCCTACAGTATGTTGTTTCTGTAAAATCCCTGGTCATTTCTACAGAGCCTAAGCAGAAATGCCATTCAAAACGAAAGAAGGTTGTGAACAAGCAAGGTTTGTAAAATACCTTCAGCTATTTTATTCATTAGAAGCCTGTCCCGAGTTATGTTTAGACCCTACTGAACTGCTTCAGACTTCCCTCGCTCCAAGACAGAAAATGACATTCAGACCAACCCAACCGTAAGAATTACGTATAGGAGCTGTGCATAGACTGGAGTACCTTCCTTTTCATCTCTGAATACAATCTCACAACAACAATCTTCATTCCCTAAAAGATCCGAGCCCTTAGAGACTTACATCAGAAATCCAAAGCAACAGTACAGCAATTCTGACTCATACAGTTTTTTTGGGAAGCTGGACTGAAGCTTGAAGCTTACCAGA